TTGTGTTATGAGAAAATAAAAAAATTATATATGGGGCTTGTATTTGGTGCTGCTCCTTGAGTTTCCCGAGATCTGTGACTGCCAGCTCCGGCTCAGAGAGGGGACGAGGCCTGTGTGAGGACACGCAGCAAACTAGTGGCAGAACTAGAACTTGAGCCATGAGTCTGCTCCTCCCAGCCTGGCTCCAGGTGTGATCTGACCCATCACTGGCCATGTGCCCCCATCCGTCCACATCTGGGCAGGGAAAGGGCACTGGGATAGGAGCCGAGACCCAGGTACCCTGAGCGGTGACCTTGGGCTCTGCCTGTCAGCATCGCACAGTTCTCTTTCAGAAGCCCCTCCGCTTTCCCCTTCAGGGAGAAGGCCTCTAGGAAAGCAGAGGGATGGAGAGCTCATCAGCATCTCCTGGGACGGCTGAGGTGAGGACACAGGTCCTACGGTCCCCGGTGAGTTCAGAGCACTGTGGAAGTCAGGGTTGGAAGTGGCCTCCGATGAACCATTGCGGCCAATACGCTCCTTTTGGTTTGTGGAAGTGGGGCCCAGAAAGGGTGAGTGTTCTGCCCAAGGCCACACAGCCGGTTAGGGAGGGCTGGGACATACCCCGGAATCTCAGTGTAGGGCTATAGAAGCCACGGCAGTCCCATTGTCAAGGAGGACCGTAGCATGGGTTGGGGGGCAGAAAGCTACTCCCAGGTCCACGACACCAAGCTCATGCTGCTTCCCCTAGCTCGGATCTATTCCCTCTCTACCTGTAATCCTCAGTGGCTTCCCGCTGTGCCGAAAAGATGACCCACATTCTCCCTCCATGACCTAATCTCCTCCACGCTCCAGCTGCTTGACGTACTTCAGCTGCTGGTCCTAGGAGGCGCCCGGCACAGGCCCATGCAGGACCTTTGCATCTGCGGCTCTTTCCGCCTGGAACGCTTTCCCCCCACTTTCCCATGGTGGGCTCCTCATCTTCACGCTCCCTCTTCAGAGAAGGCTTCCGCCTTCCCCCCTGGCTAGAGAAGCCCCTCCCCTCAGTCACCATCATCCCATCATCCCATCACCCTGCTTTATGGTCTTGCTAGCACTTACCATTATCCTAATTATCTTGTACATATACGGTTTCCCGAAGAAAGTAGGTTCCAGAAGAGCAGAGCCTTGTTCATGGCCGTGTCCCAGCATCCCCCAGTATCTGACAACGGGCATGTAGAGAGTGCCCAATTCATCTTATTAAATTAAATTTGAGCCCTAACCGGTTTGCCTCAGTGGATAGAGCATCGGACTGAAGGGTCCCAGGTTTGATTCCGGTCAAGGGCATGTAACTCGGTTGCGGGCACATCCCCAGTGGGAGGTGTGCAGGAGGCAGCTGACGGATGTTTCTCTCTCATCCATGTGTCTAACTCTCTATCCCTCTCCCTTCCTCTCTGTAAAAAAATCAATAAAATATATATATTTTTTAAATAAAATAAAATAAATCAAATTAATTAAATTTGATTGAAAGAAACACAGACAAATCCTGTCACCGAAGCCTAATTCCACCTCCCACCTCCCTTCCCCACCCCCACCAAAACCTGCTGCGTGTTCTTAGGCAAGTACCTTTCCCCTCGCTCTGGGCCCCAGTTTCCCCTTCTGAGAAATGGAGCTCCCTCTCCCGCCAGGCTGGCTGGCAGGGCAGGCCGGCTGAATTAGCATCAGCGTGGTTGATGGGTGTGAACGCTGCTTTGTAAACTGTTAAAGCGTGATTGCAAATGTGAGTAGCTGTTGTCATTAGACAAATGAAGCCTCAGCCGCCTCTTCCTCCGCAGAGGACCGCGTTAGGTCAGCGGCTCGCTGGGGGCCTCCCACCCTGGCCGGTACAGCTCTGAGCGGGGCACTGCCTTCAGGGAGCTAGCCATCTGGGGGGGGGGGGGCGGTGGAGATAAGATGCAAATCGAAATAAGCCGGGACACCAGCAATGGGCCGTTCTTCAGGAAACAGATAATAAGTGCAAATAGTGAGGCCCACGTCAATTAAAGCTCCTGGTAGGGGGCAGGGGAAGGTCCAATCCGAGCCGTTAGAGTGGAGAGGGCAGCCGGGTGAGTGCACAGGCTGTTGCCACAGAGACCGGTGCAGAGGGACCTGGACAGACTGCAAAACCCAGCCACCCTATAGGGTCCCAAAGGGAATAAAATGACGTTTAGGGAGGAAAAGATGGGAGGGGGAGGGCCGTATTCCACGGATACCATCATTTTCCTTTTTAAGGCCCTGGGCAGATGTCTAATTACGTAATGCTGCGTGAGTGGCTTCTGTCTTCAGGCTCAGTTTTCTTATCTGTGAAATGGGAACATGGGAAGTGCATGAAATGATTCATTCCTGGGAGGCACCAGGGCATCAGCATTGGGGGTGGACAGGCCTGGTGTCTGACTTACCTGGTCCTCAGTCTCATCGTCTGAAAAAGTCAGCACTTAATACCTCATAGAGTTGAAAGACCAAGGGGGGGACAATGTAAAAAAAATATACAACTTCATTTATTTTATAATATACTTATTGATTTCAGAGAGGAAGGGAGAGGGAGAGAGAGAAACATTATCGATGAGAGAATCATTTGATCAGCTGCCTCCTGCACACCCCAGAATGGGGATGGAGCCCGCAAACTGGGCATGTGCCCCGACCGGGAAATGAGCCATGAACTCCTGGTTCATAGGTCGACCCTCAACCACTGGGCATGCCAGCTGGGCAAAAAACCCACAGTTTTATGATTGGGAAAAACTTTATAATAGAAAGGGGGGCAATGGATAAACAAAGCTTAGTCGAGTGTCACGTATCAGATCCTTAATGAATGCCACGGCTGCTCGTATAGTTTGAGTCAATGGAGGGTGGTTCCACTGTGGGTGGGTGGTAGCAAGGACGGGGGGGGGGGGGAGATAGAACCAGCGGAAGAGCTGAACCCACCTCGCACATAGTAGGTGCTCCCGAAATAGTCCTCAAATTGGGAAGAGGTTGGGCGCCTGGATGTTGGCACTGGTGAGCACACTAGCTTGGAGCCGCTCTGCCCAGGAGAATGAGTCTCACCCCAGGACGGGTCAAGCTCAGGGTCTCAAACTGGGGTTGTCTGAGAAGCAGGAAGTGAAAACAAAGGCAGTCCACCGAAAATGATCTTTTTGTTGTTGTCGTTAATCCTCACTCAAGGATATGTTCCTAGTGACTTTTAGGGAGAGTGGAAGCGAGAGGGAAAGGCAGAGAGAAGCATCGATGTTTGATTGGTTGCCCCCTGCCTGCAACCAAGGTACGTGCCCTTGACCGGAATTGAACCCGGGACCCTTTGACCACAGGCGGATGCTCTATCCACTAAACCAAAGTGGCTAGGGCCTCGGTTGAACCTTGACAATAGTCAAGGAGGAATCTGTAAGCTTAAGGGGGGGCCCTCCTCACACCCCCTTTCCCCTCTCTCTGTTCACTTCTGCTCAGCCTCCTTCCCAGAAAAGTCTGTCCCAGCTTTTGAGGTTCACTTCCTCCCCGGGGCCTTCCAGGAGGGCACCCATGTCAGTTGGATTCTTGGAGCCTCAAAGGGTGACCCAGTTTTCCAAAGCTTAGATGAAGTCTCCACGTCCCACACCCCTTTTCTTGGTGTGGGCTGTAGGGGGGCGGAGAGAGGGGCGCGAAGGGAGGGATGGCAGAGCTAGTTCCATAGTTTGTGGGACAAAGGGTCAGGCCCAGGCGGAATCTAAACCGCCTGCACCTCCACCGGGCGCTCACACCCACTCCGCAGGGTGGGCAGCTCCCTGCGAAGGCTTGTTTGTCAGGAGGGAGGCTCCCCAAGGCCAGGGGCCCTGCGAGACGATTCCCAAGGCCCTCGGCGGCCCGCCTCCCACCCGGCCTCCGCACAGCCGGTTAATGATGATGGTGATGAAGGCTGTCAGAGCAGGGCCGAGCCCGCAGGGGTGGAACAAGGGGCTGTGTCCTCCCTGAAGGGACAGCCATGCACAAAACCATGGCCGCACAGACAGGTCCGTTCCCTAGGTGGCGGGGAGGAGGGCTCCCCCAGATGCCCCCCATCAGCCTCATTTACCCCCTAAAATTGCAACGGAAGAAGATGAACAGAGGAGAAATCCAACAGACAGATAGAAGGGTCTGCAGGGAGGGTTCCTGCTTTGGCTCCGACTCAGGCGGGAGGGTGGGTCTGCCAGCCCCCCCTCCCTCACCCCCGCCCCCACCCCGGCTGAAAGAGTGACCGCTCGGGCCCCGCAGTAGCGCCCAGGCCCACTCTCCCAAGCGGAGGCCCCAGCCCAGTCCCAGCGCCTGGGAAAGCCGCCTGTTTTGTTCCTATCTCCACCCCCCAACCCCCTTTTTTTTTCTCTCATTCATTGCAGTCCTGTCCCTTTTGAGCCGCAGGGACCTGGCGGCGGGGCGGAGGTGCGGGGCGGCCCTCCCGGCCCTGACAGGTAGGGTCCGCACCCGCTTCGGGCAGCCCCTTCCTCCACCCGCCCCCACCCCCGCCGGGTCCCCTCTCCGTGCGCCCCTGTCCGCCGCGCCAGACGCTCCCCAGCTTTGCAGCATTCAATAAAAATTCAGAAACATTTGGGCTGAAATCGCTGCTTTATCTGGAGGAGCCACAGCGCCGGGAGAGACCACTGCGGCGCGGGGGGGAGCCCGGTGCCGCCGGCGCCCGAGCGCCCCCGGTTCCCGCGCTCCGGAGCCCGCGCCGCCTGCGGGGGGCCCTGCGGGCGCGGGGCCCCGGGGCCCGGGGGAGGGGCGCGCGGCCAGCGGGGGTGCGGGGCGCGCAGGGGGGCGGCGGCGCGGCCGGGCTCCCCCCGCGGCCGCGGCTCCGGTGGGCGGCGCCCGGCGCTGGCGGAGCCCGGGTCCCCGCTCCGCCCGGGCTGGATGGCTCATTCTGCTGGCTGCGCGGCGGCGGCGGCGGCTGTGTGTGCGCCGCGCCCCGCCGCTCCCCGCCGGCCCCCCGAGCCCGGGGCGCGCGCTCTCGCCCGGGCCGCCCGCGCCCCGCGGAGCCGCGGCCCGAGGCGCGGGGAAGCGCAGCCATGGCCCTGCGGCGGCTGGGGGCCGCGCTGCTGCTGCTGCCGCTGCTCGCCGCCCTGGAAGGTGAGCGGGCGATGGGGGCGGGGAGCGGCCGGGCACGGGCGGCCGCCGGCGCCCACCCTCGCCCCCGCGGCCGCGCGAAGTTTGCCCCGCGGCCGGGCGGGCGCAGGTGGCCGCCGCGGGAGGGAGGTGTGTCCGGCCGGCCGCGCGGGGAGGCGCGGGCCCCGCGGGCGCCCGCGGAGCGGCGGGCGCGGATGGACTGTGCCAGGAGGGGGCGAGGGACCATCTTGCCGCCGAGGCTTTGTAGCCAGCCGGGCGAGCGCCGCCCAGGGCCCGGGGCTGCCCACGCGCGCCCGCCGCCCCGGCCCGGGCGCCCCCCGCGCGCCTGCCTGGCCTGGCTCGGCACCGGGTGGAGGGAGCGCCGGCCCGGGGGTGGGGGCCCGACGCCCAGCCGGGGCTGGAAAGTTTGGCAGGGAGCAGAGGGAGGGAGGGAGGCGCCGCGGCTGGCCGGGTGGGGGCTCCGGGTCCGCGCCCCCCGCGGGATGGGGTGGGCGCCCCGAAAAGCGGGGACCGGCTGGCAGAGCGCAAGGGAGCGAGCGCGCCGGCCCCGCGCGTCCGTCCGTGCCCGCCCGTCGCCCGCGGCGTACAATGGGGTCCCCTCCCAGGGAGGACTGGCGGGGGGATGGGTCCGTGGGCATCTCTCCCTGCGCGGGGGCTCCGGGCACCCCTGCGGGCCACCGCCCAGCATGGCCACAGGAGCCCGGGAACTTTCCAGCTGCCGCCAGGGCCGGGCCAGATGCTCCTGCCATGTGTTGGCCTTGGCCAGGGTCGCGGGCCATCATCTCCCCACAGAGCCGCGGACCCCCAGAGGGACAGGCAGGTGGGCTGGCTGCCAGGCCCCCTGAGCCAGCCGCTGTCCCCGGAGGGAAAGTTCGTGGGGCCTGGGTGTGCCCACCAGGAATGGCCGAGCCTGTGGGGGCAAGCCGTGGAGATGAATAATGGCTCTCGTGTGTGCAGCACTTCGCGGTCCTCCCCGCGCCTGGCAGTGTATGGAGCACTTTGCACTCCACGCAGCTCTCTGTGGTTTGCAACGCGCCGCACGGTTGACAAGGCACTTTGGCCGGACAGAGTGCGTTCCCACCCACAGCTGGGTTCCATTTCCCCAAATCCGTTTCTCTCCACCCCCCAGAAGCCGGGTGAGGGTGATTCCTGCTCCCTTGGACGAGGTGGGCAAACCAAGGCTCAGCGTCGGTGGGTGGCCAAAAAGGAACCCGGGGCTGAGGTCTGCAGCCTGAACTCCCTTCACGTCGCTGCATCCTCTTGTTGCTAAACCCTTCCTGGGATTCTGCCTCCACGGGCTGAGGGCTGAAGCACATGCACACGTCTGTGTCTCCGTCCCGTGGGCTAGGATGTAGCTCTCGTCCCCCCTTGCGACGCCAAGTCAAAAACAAACCAACAAAAAAACAACAAAACCCCAAAACTCAGAACAGGTTGGATAGGCCTGGAGGGATGGCTCAAATGGGGGGTCATGATATAGCTTCAGTTTCTCTCTCAGCCATGAGCACTTTGGTGACCATAGTTCAAGGGGCCACGGGGTGACCCTGGACGGCAGCCACGGTTTCTGGCTCCCGGAGGTTCGGAGGCCGCCTGCAGGTTTCCGGAGCTGGGCCACTGGGGCTCCAGGGTGCCGGGGGGCCCTGGGTGTGGAGGGCAGCCCCGGTCCCGGCTGCTGGCGGAGGTACCACTTATTAACGCTGGCTTTGGGGAAATGACTCATGCGTTGGCCCACTATACGTTGGGATGTTTACAGTATTATGGGGAGCTTGGCATAAATATTGCTATGTAGGTTGCAGTCAGCGGTGCTGGAGGGGAATAAAATTGGCCCCTCTTTCGTTGGAAGAAGCCTGGGCGTGTTTTTAATTACCATGGGGTGGATGGAAGGGCCACGTCTGTCCAGCCATGGTTTGGCAGGGAGCAGTTAGTATCCGGTAGGCTGCGGCCAGGCCGGACCCTGGGCCCTGGATCCGGGGCTGGTCGACTGCTTGACGTATCAGGAGGGGAGGGAGGGGAGGGAGGACTGCTCAGGCTGCCACTTGGGGACAGGGTGGGCGGAGGGCTGTAGTGGGACCCCACACCTCATTGCAGGCTCTCCCTTTGCCCGCTGGTCACTAAGGAGTCTGGTCCGTTAGGGGTTAACAAGGAGCTGACCACATGGGTTCGGAGATGGTATGAGGTGGAGGTCAGGGCCCTGCTTCTGATTTCCCATAGGATCCTGGGCCATCTCCCTTCCCTAGAGAGGCCTCCCGGGTGTAAGATGGTCCCTCTAATCTCTTGGGGTTCCATCCTACGCACCCCACATCCCCTAGCTGAGCCTCAGTTTCCTCGTCTGTCAAGCGAGGGTGATCATGATGCCCATCCTGCCTGTCCTCTCACGCGGGTGCTTGTGAGATTCAGACCAGATGCTGAGTGGGGAAAATCCACCTCGAAGGCCTGTGTGAGGCCCGTGGGGGTGGGAAGATGCAGAGGGACAGCGCTGCTTGTGGCAGGCACATCCCCAAAGACACCCGGGTCCCCCCCCCCCCCCCCCCCGGGAGCAGCAGACTGTGGAAGCAGGAGGAAGCTTGGGGTGGTGGGAGGGCAGCCCCTAGGCCTCCCCGTACCCAGCGACAGGCGGCCACCACACCCTTCCCCCCCACTCCTGTGCCCTGCGGTGACAGGCTGTCCCGAGCCTAAGGTCCTCGGCAATCCGCAGCCTTGGGCCTGTGAGAGGAGAGAGGGGGTATGTGTTGGGGCGGGGGAATTTTGGGTTAGGATGTCGAACTTAGTATCTCCCCCAAACCACAAGCCCCTCCCAGGGGAAACACACTTCTAGAGCATCTAAAGTGGGGGGCTTTGATGAAATCGGTTTGGCTCAGTGGATAGAGCGTCGGTTTGCGGACCGAAAAGTCCCAGGTTCGATTCTGGTCAAGGGCATGTACCTTGGTTGCAGGCACATCCCCAGTAGGGGGTGTGCAGGAGGCAGCTGGTTGATGTTTCTCTCTCATCAATGTTTCTGGCTCTCTATCCCTCTCCCTTCCTCTCTGTAAAAATAAATAAATAAATAAATAAATAAATATTTAAAAATAAAAAATAAAGTGGGGGCTTTGAGAAGGATGTGAGTGCCCGGGGTACACAGGCAGCACAGAAGAGGCCTGCGACAGACCAGCCACCCGATGGAATCCAGAGGTTGACGTTCAGAGAAAATCGGGTCTCCCCTGTGCTTTTGCTCTCCACGTTTTTCTGGAGCCTTCCTCTCTGGCTGGCCCGGCGCTGGACCCTGGAGCAGGTAGGGGAAATGCTGATAGGGAAAGCAGTTGGCAAGATCTGAAGTGTAACCGTGTGCCAGGGTGCTGCCAGAAGGAAGTTGTGAGCCACCTGGGGCAGCAGAGGCGGTTTGGGAGGTGAGAGGGCTGTTCCGCCTTTTATGGCTCTATCGTGTTCCTTGTTTTCTCACTGCCGTTCGCCCTGCGCTGACGAAACTTTCCCAGCCACCTGTCACACTAACGGACTGTGCTTTCGGAGTGAAGGAGGTTGACTTTGGGACTTGGGTAAGGTGACCAGACATCCCACTTTTGGCGGTACAGTCCTGATTTTTAACAATTTGTCCTGAAAGATCGGGACTTTTTTAAAACATTGCGGGGAAAAAATTGTTAAAAATCGGGACTATCCCACCAAAAGCAGGGCATCTGGTCACTTTAGACTTGGGGGAAAGGAGAATTTTGCCCAGAAAAAGGAACTGCGTGTAAAGACATGGAGGCATGGTGGTGGGGTCCTCACCTGAGTGTAGCTGAGGACGTCTGTGCGGAGGGAGGAAGTGGGAGGACAGGAGGGCAGGACAAGTCCTGAAGGGCTGGGATGGAAGGAGAAGGAGTTTGGACTTGATGCTGAGGGCAGTGGGGAGCCACGGAAGGTTCTTGAGTCATGGACCCGGCCTGGTACGTGTTTGCAAAAAAAAAAAAAAAAAAAAAAAACACCGGCTTTCAGTGCGTGGGATGTTCGGATGGCCCGGACCCGATCCTGCACTCTCCGGAACAGGCCGGCCTGTCTGCTCCCGGCTGGGCTGTGAGCTCTCAGAGGAGGATCCTCTGCCTCGTTTTTTGTGTCCAGAGTTGTGGTAGAAAGAGCTCAGCGCCAAGGCCACCTCCCCAGAGGCCCTCCCTGATTGCTTCCTGAAGCAGACCCAGTTCTGCCACTTTCTGTCCTGCCTACTTTGGCTTGCTTCGTCACACCCACCGCCACCCAAAACACATCAGAGGCGTGTGAGCATCCTTGTTCTGTGTCTGCCTCGCCCACCAGGCTGGACACGCCAGGAGGGAAGCGGGCTTGCCTGCCATGCCGGCTATGGCATTCCCAGTTCCCAGAGCTGTGCCCGGTCACCTGAGCACCCCGTCACTGAAGGACGAGTGAGCTGAGGCACGCTGAAGGAATGGAATGTTGAGCGAACGAATGAGTGGATGTACCCTGTTTCCCGAAAATAAGACAGTGTCTTATGTTAATTTTTTCTCCCAAAGTTGCGCTAGGTCTTATTTTCAGGGGATGTCTTATTTTCGGAGAAACACGGTATTATTTTGTATCCCGCGGTATCAGGAGAATGACCCACACACAGAGGGAGGGCCCATCTGGCCAGGGAGATGACGGAAACCTTCCTGGAGGGAGAAGCCAGGGGATGGCTTGCAGGGAAGTGTTTGGGGGTGCTGGGTAGACCAGCTCAGCCAGAGCTAAGAATTCGAGGGGGCCGGCAGCAGCTAGGTACTGAACCAAGTCCCTTCCGTGTGGAGGTTGAGGGAGACTCTCTGTCCTCCCTCCAGCTCCTCCCCCCCTACCCCCATCCCAGTCCTCCACCTCTACCTAAGGCCCAGCAACCTTTCAGCGGGATTCATTTGGAACTGGTTTTCCTTTCATGTGTGTTTCTTCTGCTTCTCGTGTTTTAAAGGAGGCTGCTTTCATGGGTTCGTCTGAACCAGGAAATCAGGGCTGAGATTTCAAACCCAAATGCTGTCGAATCTAAAGGCAAGCTGACTCAT